ACTACCTGCAGTCGCTGATGAATGTACTTTGGAAATGGTTTTATGAATATTATATTATATTTTTAAATTATGTAAAACCTCAATAGATTAAATTACTTGTGGTTCGTCAACGTGGCGCCTTGAAACACGTGATGATCTAGCTGTAACACGTCATGACGTCCGAGAAAAATATAGAAATAACCGATTTCTCCTACATGAAATAGAAAATAAAAAAAATATCAAAGCTTTCAGGTTATTTTAGTGTCAGTTTTGACAGGAAAATTTTACGGAAATGGAAACAGGACTGGCTGAAAGTGGCAAGTAGCAATGATCTTATGTAATGTTTCTTCTGATAATAAAGTTTATTTTCTCCTTCTCCTTCGTTAAGTCGTTGTCTTAGAGTCAGGTCGACTATTTGGAGTCGATGATATCAGACATAGAAGGTTGATCACCTACTTGTATGGTGCAATACACGCCAAAGCTGATCTTTGTACCGAGAAAATACAGTTCTAGGCAATAAATGTAACACAAACTTCGGAACAACTGATATGATAGGTTTTGTTACCTATATGTACTATTAATATAATATCTTTTAAGATAGGTACCTACCTAGCAATCAGAACCGTTCGATAATTAAAACTTTGCCATTATAATTAATAATACAAGGAATAAAAATAAATACATTTTAGTTTTGGACTAGGGATATAATTTTAATTACAATTAAACTCTTGCTAAACAATTCCAACTTAATGTACTTGTATTTGAAGTAAACGTTGCTTCAAAATAAAAAAAAATATGTTTATTATGGAATATAAGATACAGGTATCACTTACTCCACGTTATCAAATTTGAATCGGTAGACATCAATGCCTACTCATCGGCAATGAAGCCAGAGGGTGTAGGCCGAGAGAAAAACCCGGCGTAAAAAATTCTCGGTACTCTTTTAAAATCAAATCATCATAAAAATAAACATTCAACATTTTATTTCACTAGAAAACAAACCCAGTGCATACAATCGTTAAATATGTGTAGTTATGTATAATTACAGAAAATCGAAAGAGTTGTGTGTGTTATGTTATCAAGGCCATTTTGTGTTTGTATGGCAAAGATGTTTCGTTTGTAAATAGTCGAACATACCAACAGGTTTTCTAACCTCATAAATATGTATGTATAAGTTATTTATTTCATACTAGCTGGCCTGGCGAACATCGTACCGCCTTACAGTCGATTCTTTATTTTTTTTAAATACTTATTCTGCTATTCGGGACACCGGTCTAGCTAGTAAGATAAAAAAAGAAAGTTGATAAGACAACAAATACATTATGTCAAAAAATAAAAATTTACCTTCCCGGAACCCCTCCACTAACACTTGAACTTTATGATATGGTATTAAAGTTCAAATGGACTTTTAAGTACATATTATTACGAATATTTGGTATGGGAATATAGAAAAGTGTTGTTTTTAGACTTTTTCACTCAATTTTTTTTTTAATTTTTCTCTCCGTAAGAACCATCCTCGTACTTCAAGGAATATTATAAAAAAAGAATTGGCCAAATTGGTCCAGGCGTTGTTGAGTTACGCGCTTACCAACACATTTTGCGATTCATTTTTATATTATAGATAAACGATACTTAGTAGTAATCAGCACTGGTATTCTGTAACTTCAAACAGCGATATCGATACCGTCGAAGGGTAGTATTTTAGACCCACAGAGTACCATTTTCATTGAATGCAGTCCACTTAAAACAATGTGTTATATCACTTAACGTTACGTCCGTGTTCCCAATATGGGACAGTAGGCATTCACTTCCTCCTCCTGACTCCATCCACTGATCCTCCATCGCCCTAGGTTTTGAGCCTCGTATCCAAGTCGTTATATCGATCGTTTGAGACAGCTTCGTTTCCGTTTTCTTGTGGATTCCATTCAAGAGAGATAACAGGGTAATATTACTAATAGGTACAACAGATAAGTTAAATGGAAGCATATGTTAATTTTAATCATAACGGTCCTACAGATGAAGGGACTTTGCAAATAGTTTTGACTATTAGATAATATTTTTTTTATTATGTAAAACCTCAGTAGATCAAATTACCTCCGACTGAGACACCTGGTTCAGCTACTGGAACCATGGACAATCAAACTGCCGATACCGGCATAGAAGGCTCGCAAGTGCGTTGCCGGCCTTTACAGAATTGGTACCTAAATATAAAAAATATCAGTATCTTATATAAAATTGAATCACATTTTACGTAATGTAATTTATTTTGTGATATCAATGAACAAGTATTGACTGGGATTGAATTAATATCGCTTTTACATTTGTTCAAGTGTCGGAAGGCTCGACTCTACGTCATAGCCACACCGATGCGCTGACGCATATTGCATTTGTATGCGTTTTGACATAATTATAATAAATTGTAAGGAAAATTTACGATGTTTTAAATATGGATTCATTCTGAAGATAAAACATATACTGGGCTTAACTTTTTGTTGTATTTGCTATCATTATTGACATATATTTGTAATTTATGGTGCCGGGTGGAACTTTATAAGTGGCATATTAAATACTTATGTACTCGAAACGTTGACCTATGTATGATTGTATAATGTAATAGACTCGCCTTTATTATTAAAAATATTATTTAGCAGTGTTGTCGTAGTGGCTTCTGCGTGCGCCTGTCACAGAAGGCTGATCACCTACTGGCCTATTAGAAAACGAACACGAAATAGATACAGAAGTCGCCGGCCCAGATTTAAAAGCCTTTTTTTACTAAAGTTTATTATGTAACCAAACCAAAGACAATTTACGTATATTATTTATCCTCTATTATTGCTGTATCTGTGGTCACTAAACCATAACGTAAACTTTGACTCTGTTATCGCTCGACTGTTATCATAACGAAGTTGCACGCTCATTATGTTTTATATTGTATATTTACCTTCTCTACTGTTATATAAATGTGTTGGCTTAGAATATATCTTGAGATATATAATGATTGGTTGATTCATATAGAGAGCAGGTTATTAGGTACTTATTCCTAAAAAAATATGTTCTTTTCTGGCAGTAGTTTTCATTTGCGTTCCCTTGACAATATAATTCTTGAAACCCCTACACATGAAACTGAATTCTATCACTCCTCCTTTACTGTGCAATGTAAAACTTTGGAACTCCTTACCTCTTGATATCAGGCGAGATCAGACTAAATTTATTTAAAAATCTTCTTTTTGATTATTTATCTTTTACCTCGTAATTAGCTACTTATATTGTGACTCATTACATATCAAGGTATCGAAATGTAAATAAATAAACGTTTTACGCACAAGTCTGTATATACGGCGCTAGGCATTCTGCCTAAAAAGTCTCGCAGTAAAATGTTCGACCAGGGAATTACTGTCCACATTATCTTTGTCTGACACACGTCTTACTCCTTATAAAGGAATGTAAACCGAACTAGCCACTTGCGAAAATAGAAGCGGGAAACAAAATTTTAACCAAGCGTGCTCTTCGTTCGCAAAGTACTTTCATCTGAAATTTCACCCCTATCACCTCGATGTCCGTCGTTACACAACTGTATATTTCTTAAAGCTGCTCTGCTGTTCACAGCCACTAAGAGAGAGCCCGTCGAGGTATTTTCGATACTATTTGTCGGAAAGGAGCGTACCACTCGCGACCATTGAGTATCATTATAAGTAGATTAACAAAATTATACATAGACCACCTGCTCATTAGCCATTAAATAAACCAGTAATGATAATAATAAATATATAATTGATATCTTATCATCTACATTCTAATGTTATCACCAGACATTTCTTCCAATCAATAAATAACCCACGGACAGCTTAATATTTATCATAGAAAATATACGTGCTGAGTCTGGGAGGTTTTAAATTAATACACAGGATTGGTTTAATAGGTTTGAGGTATTATAATTCTTAAGTGACGATATGATTTGGTATGGGATGCTACTTGGGGGCACTCGTTAGCCACGGTATACCTCCTTCGGACAAGCATAAGAACCGGCGCGGCCGCAGAGCAGACGGAAAAATATACGGCTCAAATATAAGATTCTTTCCTCCAACTTTGATTTTGTTCCCTTTGGAGAAGAGACTCTTGGGCCGTGGGGTTCAAGCGCACAGCTAATTAAAGTTTTAAGTTGGCGCCTGGTAGATACTACCGGTGACCCCAGAGCTGCTCCTTTCCTCGCTCAACGAATAAGTATCGCAATGCAGCGAGGAAATGCGGCAAATGGCTAGAAGGCTCACCAAGTGATACCGCCGCCCATGGACACTCAATGCCAGATGGCTCGCGAGTGCGTACGCCTTTTAAGAATTGGTACGTTCTTTTCTTGATCACCCTAAGTGCTTGTTCACGTTGACTTACGCACGTAACGAATGTGAACACTTGGATATTACGCCATAATATGTTTGATATTTCCCGCTAGTCAACGTGAACAAGCACTAAGTCGAATTGGTTCGGAGATACTAGCTGGTTCCACGTAGTTATTGGTTTTTCAGTGTGTTAATAAGTTATTCCGTATATGATGGTTTAAGATAGACACACTTATCATCTATTATACAAAATAAAACAAACGTTGAGAGAAAAAACAATAATCTTAATATATATATTTCTGAACTTCTCTCAAACGACTGGACCGATTTTGATGAAATTTTTTGTGTGTGTTCAAGGGGATCTGGGAATGGTTTAGATTCACAAATCAGCCCGGCAGATGGCACTGCAGTCGGTACTTTCATACTTTGCTTAATATCCTAATCGCTTTAAATATCATGCAGGACAACGTCTGTGGGGTCCACTAGTTACTCTATAAAATTTTAGATTGAACACATTTTCTAATTATTAGAAATTGCTTCAAATCTTGCTGTGTGTAATGCATATCACTCTGTATATTATATCAGCCATAAAGATATCTTATCAATTGTTATAATAATGTGTAAACTGCCTAATATTTTTTCACAAGACCTAAATATTTTCAAGGTGTCAGTGAAGTGCTAGCAAATATGCAGATGTGCTGTATTTTAAATTGTTTACCGAAATGCTTTCATCGGTACGTATTTTACTGTGCCATATTTTATTAATAAAAAAATAAAAAAAACATATATAGAACTTTTATCGAAAACTCTTACACCATCTGCCTGCTGTGAGTGAGAAAGGTTCTCATTTAACAAAATAAATCTAGCTGAGCCAAGGACGGACGCTAGTCTAATATATTCTCGTGTCACAATGTTCGTTCCCATACTCCTCTGAAATGGCTCGACCGATTTTTATGATTTTTTTATGCATATTCAGTATATCTATATTCAGTAAGAGAATCGGCTACTATCTATCTTTCAAACCCTTAAGTGATCAGTGGTGTCTATCCTGAATTTTTTAGATTTTTTTTTTTAAATTATGATTCAGCATACAAAAATACATGCTACCCCTTTAAATAATTTTCCCCTATTGTTATTATTGTAGATAGTTATTTTTATTGAACTAAAAAAATGATTCCTAGAAATAATATACATGGCAAAACAACGTTTGCCGGGTCACCTAGTTATATATAAGAAACGTTATTATGTGGTGATAAATTGACCCCAAAATCTCAGTAGGGCTATGTAGTGTGGACTCAGTTTCCTGGCTAATTAAGCCAGCCTCGCTGCTTCAGCTCAGAAGTTTCATAGGCCCTTCGCAGGCTTCACGGAGCGCCCTCACAGCTCCAAGGATTTCTGTTCGTTGGGAAGCCACAGCCACGCATTCCAGGACTACGTGGGTCCTGGATTCCTCTGCGCTGAAACATCCTCAGACAAAGAGATGTTCGTTAAGGAGACAGTGGCCTGTAATTGTCCCTATCAATTTTTTTATTCTGTTGAGGCTTAGAAGTCGCTTTGTAGTCGCTAGCGGTTATACTGCAGTGCCATTTTGGACTGCGTGCAATCCCTGTTTTGCGACCAATGACAATTTTGGAGTTCTGTGGATACTTGGCGAATTCACTTCGCACTTTTTTTAACCTAACCTCATTTCACGAAATGCCTTTTCGAGGATTCCTACAAAAAATAAATACGCTTATGTACAATTTTTTTTGACAAGAGGTAGGGGCGGGATAAATTTCAGTAAATCTGCTTACGGAATACTTGAACGGCCCCAATGACATTTTCCAAATACGGGGGCTGTATTAAATTATCTGGACATACATCTGTTTCCCAGTAATTTACAAGATCAGCAAACGGTCCCTTAAAATATAAATTGCTTCATCGGAATCTTTGAATAAATATGTCTTAATCAGCACCTAAATCGAAGTTATTTTTTGTTAACAGAAAAAACATGTCTACGGTCTTAGAGAACGGATGCGCGGGAGTCGATACACACGTAAACGGCCACATCCCGTACACAAATGGGAATGGTACCATGAATGGCATACATAATACAAACGGAAATGGCATCTCCAATGGCATCTCCAATGGCATCTCCAACGTCTCCAATGGTACCATTAATGGGACACATGGTGTAAATGGCAGCGGAACATCTTGGGAGAAGCAGTTTCTACCACCATCACTCCAGCTTGAGGACAAAGCTCGCGCTCTTAAGGTAAGTCTTTATGGAATTAGCATTCCAGGTCCAGCAACACACTTGCAAGCCTTCAGGTGTTACAGGTGTCTGGCTGGCGGTTAGCAGTCTAATTGCTGCCCTGCCTGCTCGTTTGCGCATAATAAATTCCAGTTAAAATAAAAGCCTTTGTTTCCTCTCGTAATTTTTCGTAAGACTGATGATGAACAGACAAAAAAGTTAATCCAAAACTATTTTTTTGGCATTACAATATATGTTATAATCGCAAAAAGATTATATGATCTACATATACTTAAGCGTTATATATAATCTATGAATTTATGAATATATTATCATAGTAACATATATATGCGTGGCATGATATGAATTTTTCATATTTTTTAAATACTATATAGTTGATTAAATATATCTATATATAGCCTCAGATTTGTGTCTGTGATCATTTCTTTTTTTTATAATAGGCAAGATCTCAGCCTTCTGTGCCTAACACACGCCTACGACTTTTTGGGTCTAAGGCATTGCCGGCTTCCTTACGATGGTTTCGGAGACAGAAAATTCCATTTTTTTTCAATTAGACCATCTAAAATGGCACTTTTGAACGTCAAAAAAAATACAAAGAAGATTCTAGTTGCCCCTTCCAAAAGGTAGTTTCGTGTGGAGAAGAATGGGCAAGAAATTCCACACTTACTCTTTTTAAAATAGGTTTACAATATTTTGTTACATTTGTTAAATAATTATATGTGAAGACAATGACATTGATCCCTAAAGACCAAGCTGTAGTTCGAACTTACGATCTCAGGGATGAGAGTCGCACGCTGAATCCACTAGTCCAAAACTTACTGATTAAGTATGTAGATTGAAAGAAAATCAATACCTCATAATCCTGAAATAATAGTAACAGTTTTTATATTAGGTTTCTTCATTTGATGTTGTCAATCATGTCTTATTTCAGCTGACTATTATCTCTATCTAGGGTAGTAATAATGAAGTCAATAAAAAATATACAAGTCCAATCATATCTAAAATATTATTTGACTGTACCAGGGTAAAACTACTTTAATACAAAATAAAAACTAAGTACGTATTAAACTATCTTTTAAACTGGAATTTTATATAACCAAACAAGGAAAATGTTATCAAAACAGTAGTTTAAATAATTTAACATGAATAATCAAAAAATATCATTGCAATAACAATAATGTCATTTCTCTTATCATTTATTAGGTGATTACTTCAATAAAAGTAGGGTTAATTTGATAGCTAGGAGGTTAATAGCTATAATATAATGATTTGTTTTATATAATATGTAGTCGTATGTATTTTTTATTAAAATTTATATTGATTGAGTTAAGTAAATATATTTTCTAAACCTATTAGCTAGTAATTTCCTTTTCCCTTACACACACACATACTACTCACGTATATTTGATCGTAGCGTTATGTTATATAAACCTTAATTAACGTCTATATTAATGATATCTTACAGTCTTCTGTCTCTTTACTTAGTCACTTTTCCTATCTCATTAGATATATTTTTTTAAATTCCTTTACGCAAACCTTGTTCCGACAATAACGCACAGAAAAAAACATTACTTGCACTCGAATGTGCATGCACATTTTAGCGATAAAAATAATATCTAGGAAGGTTTTTATCTAGGAGGAAGAACCAGTGGCAGACTAACAAATTTTTAAGGTAGAGGCTGTGAAGTTTGTACCGCCCTCGCCTCTACATTTGTCACATCCGAAATTATTTTTACAAACCAACAATTTCGTTGAAATTGCACGTCAAATAATTTTTGAATTTGATTTTTGAGAACAAAATTATACACACACTAACCAGTTCGCAGCCTCCAACCAGTAGTATGATTGACACGTATAAGTTGATAGGGGGAAGAGCGACGAGGGAAATACATTTTCTGCAATTTGGATCTTTTCACTTATACAAAGTGTGGCACAGAGGTGGATTACTGGTTGGGGGGCGGCGAACTAGCTGTTTTACTCTAGAATATGGAAGTTTGCTATACTCAATGTGCAATGACATGTGAGAGGGAAAAGTTATCTTCAAACTTTGTTGCAGACTTCTATTTGTAAAACATTTGAAAACGTCAAAATCTGTAGTAAAAAAAATTCAGACACCATATTTGCCGCCCCAAAAATCTGGCGCCCTAGGCTACTATTCAGCCTGCTGGTAAATCCGCCACTGCATGGGGCGTTTTATCTGTTTAGTATCAAACTTATCAGCTTCCTTGTACCTGACATAAAAGGCATTCTCGGCGCTTTAAGCGCGACTGTGCTGGTACTCTGTAACGCTGATGACCTTGGCATCGCATACAAAAACTCAACGTCAAAGTCACGCTTAGTGTAGAGTGTATCTCCAGTCCAGAGATCACCAAATCAATCTGGAGACTACACGAGACATTTAATATAAATATGTGTCCACGAGTATTATTAGCTGCATCTTGGTGTCAATCAAGGCGCCATCAGTCTTAATTGCCACTGACCCGATGAATTGAGCTCGGCAATGAGCTTCCACTTGCAATTGTCGTATTATTGGAAATAAAACCATATATATTTCTTAGACAATATTTATTTATAAGTAAAAATTTCGTTAAACGTAAATTAATCAATAAAGCTTTTTATATATTTGACGATAATAATGATCCTAATCCTTGGGATTGATTTGCTCCAGTTCAAACAATTTGTATGACTCAAAACTTAGCGATTAAAGTGGCGGAAAGTTTCTTGCCCGCTCTACGCCATTGACTTGCGATCTGGTAGTAAATGTAAATTTTTAATTAATTTATCTTATTTTCTGACGTTCATAGTGTTGTTTACCTATATGACTAAATTTATTTTGAGTTTGAGTTTAATAGGATCGATTATGTGTTTGTAATGAATAAATTAAAAATCTACTGAATCAATATCCAAAATTCAAAAATGTGCTATCGAGACAGGCCACTGGTCTTAAATATTTATTGATTTTTATTATGATATTCATTATCTATTTATACCAATTGAGTAACGACTTTTTATTTGTACTACTCCGATCCAAATCTAAATAAAATAAATAAATCGTTTATTTGCAAAGAAAAGTACATAAGCCGATTAATTATAAAAATCCGCACAGCCATATAAAAATAGTCATGCAAATGTCATATTAATGTTCATGTCATATCAAGAACATTAACATGATTTCATAATAATCAGTTATTTATAATTGTTGTCAAACTTATGGTCTGAACACTCTACCACGCTATAAAGGCCCTGCCTTTAAACATTTAAAACGTGTTTAGTTCTCAAATAATAAATGAATATATTTTGAATTAGCCACTCTCTACGCCGAGAGTAACTGAGGCTTATGTTCATTGAATAGAACTGAAGCAGTCAATTGCGTCTCAAATCTCAATTGTGATTGGTCAACAGTATCTCTAGAACTCTCATGCGACGCCGTCCATCATCTCATTTTCAAAGGGTTTTTTATAGAACTGGCGATCAGCTCATTTGATGTTAAGTGATACCGCATATGAAAACTCATACTGCCAGTAGGCTCGCAAGTGCCTAGTCTTTTAAGAATTAGTATTCCCTTTGGCAATTAAACGAGTTATGTTTCGCGATGTTAAAATTTCCAATTGTATAGCAAACTAAAGTGCTAATTTCACATCACACACACACGTTCACATCATTTAGGCTTACTTAAATGAAACAGTATTCATTAGAAATCCGTACCGGGAACATTCGTATAGTCTACACTCTGCATCCTACAGCCTCCCAATATACACGAGTCTAAATTTCTTTGATATTTTAATTTATATATATGCACTATATTTGTTTGAAAAAGCTGGATTTGGAGTTTATCGCGTCCAGATAGACGTCGGGAAAGTTTATTTGTAGTTTAAGCCCGCAATAATTGTTTTATGTTCGGTCCCTTTATAGCTATTAAGATATAAGTAGATATGATTGCAACGATTGTATATTAATTGCATTGATGTTTTCGCTTAACAAATATATCGTCGCTTACTAGAAGTGTTGGCCTAGTGGCTTCAGCGTGCGACTCTCATCCTTGAGGTCGTAGGTTCGATCCCCGGCTGTGCACCAACAGACTTTCTTTCTATGTGCGCATTTAACATTCGCTCAAACGGTGAAGGAAACATCGTGAGGAAACCGGCTTGCATTAGACCGAAAACATCGACGGCGTGTCAGGCACAGGAGGCTGATCACCTATTTTATACAACTTAATTTCTAGATTATAAAATTAGATTTTTTAAGGACGTTTTAAAACAATACATTTTGATTTGAACAAGATTGAGATTCTGTACTACTATTAACTGCGTTTCGAGAAAGCTTTTAAAGATATTTTTGTTTTTTATAACCTTATCAATATAAATTATCTAAGTAATTAACATAATCAAGTAAGTAATCCTTAACCTCGACTCAAGCGCAGCTGATAACGAATTGTTGCGGGTCAAAGATTGCGACGCAAAAGGAAAATAATATCGAAACTAGATAAATATTGTTATATAATCATGTTCATAGTGTATATTATAATTTTTATTAAGGGTTCGTATACGACTATAATACAGCTAGAATGATTAGATACAATTGGATTACAATTAGATACAGTTGGATGCCTGGAATATCCATATCACAGGTTCTTACCTAGCTTGGAAACCAGTCTCCTAATACCTTCTTAATTGTAATCGTACTGTTTGTTTCAAATGTTTATTAGTACAAATGTAATTAGTTTAATTACAGGTAAAAATAATTAAACTCCCGTTTAGTGCGAAATACGCTCACACTGCTCAACATTTCAAAACAAAAGTTTACTAATTATTCCTACTAAAGATGTAGGCAATCTAATAGTAAATGAGTCCTTTTTTTATAGCTTATGAACATTATTTAAAATAAATTGGCAAATGGGAAATTTGCTAATTGGGATTGGTTGTTATAATTATATATTTAAAACAGCTAGGCAAATGACTTGGATGGATGACGTTTTCTCACTTGCCTAGCCTGTTGACTGTTAATTTAAAATTTAGTTCCACTTTCTGCCGCTCTCAAACTCGAAACGAAACTCATCAAACTGTCTATATGGCGTCGGCAAACCACAACTTTGCCAATGTTTTCCAAAATTTTATTAAAAACAACAAGTACAAAGGAAGAGTGTAGTGACAATAATAATGTGAATTTAGCTGTGATTGACTCAAGCAATTTAATTTTTTTTTTTAAATTTTATGTCAGATGTTCCATATTTATTTCTGCCACATGGTCACTCTATCGTACGAATGGCCTAAGCATTAGCCAGCGAGTTCATTAAATGTTGTTACAAACGCTACTGCTAAATATCTTTCAGGCCGCTATTTAATTCGCGCTGTTTATTTTAGACTTCAGAGGCTAGGCTGTTAATTGAACGGCTTATTAAGCTAGTTGGCTGCGACATATATATTGAGAATCTTATATGTAACCAAACTACAATTAAAGTGATATATTAAACCATGTTCCATCCTTATGGCACAATTACATATAGCATATATCGGATGTGTTTGGTTTTGGTAAAATAATAACTTGATAAGAACCAAAGCCTAGCTCTAAGAAATTTATACATAGAAAATATTATTGTTTACAAATAACCATCACGTACAAGATTATAACTTAAAACTTTCCTTAATGGGGTTATCTATATTACGACAACTCTATTTTATATCGACTAATATAATATTGATATAAATGTGTTTGCTACGCTTTGCCTTTCCAATGAAAACCCAACAATTAAAATACAACGCCTATATTCAGATTAACTAAATCTTAACTTTTAACTTAATTTTTATTTATTTCTTCACATAATAATATAATCTAAGTCTCAGAAAACCACTGTGAGTAGTCAAACACGAAAGTACTAATTCGTCACTGTCAAATTGTCTTTACACTGTGATAAAATAAAATCTATATACATTTATTTCCTAATTTAAGATATGTGATACAAATAAATAAATGCAGAATTAATTGCAGGTGGAGTCAAAATTATCGGGTCTAGTGCTCTGTGGTGCCACCTTACGGCAAGTGGGTGAAGTTTTCGCTCGAGAAATTGAAAATGGTCTACGCGAGAAGCCATCCAGTCTTCAGATGGAAAACACATACGTTCCAGAACTACCAGATGGCACAGGTCAGAATAGTTTCTGAACGGATGACTATAGAATATTTATTTTATTGTGTTTTTACATTCAAAAATTTATATCCTAAGGAGATATATACATATATATATCTCCTTTACTCAAATCAATGTAACGAAAAAAGGCACACACACAATAATTGTCAGTCGTAAGGAAAGAAATACAATGGGTAACTGATAATACTCGTATTACATTGTTTATTAAAATCATTTGGAATTTATTTTTTAAAATTTTCTTACTGCGTTTCGTTAACAATTTCCTAGTCATGTAAACCTATCTAAGTTTATTAAGTGAACGATTTTTTTTTAATATTAAAAATTATGTATGCTACATAAAATTATTTGAAACGCAAAGGTGGTATGGCACAAAAAAGGGTGGGAAACACTGATCTATAACTTAATAATTGGTATAACCACATTGAATGGCATCGGGCATACTGCATCTGTTTCGAATATCATCAGAGTTACTTAAAAGTAAAATAGTGTATAAATCTATTTAACATATTCAGTAAGCCACAAAAGGTATATAACTACGATTTAGCGAGAAATTTATAAACTATACCCACTGTATGTGAAATGTGTGTTTAGCATTATAATGTCAATACTATAAATATAATATTTCGGTAACAAAGTGTAAATATTGTGATTGTTTGAACAGAGGAAGGTGTTTTCCTGGCGCTCGATCTTGGCGGGACGAACTTCCGGGTCTTATTCTTAGAATTAAGGGGAGGTCAGCTGGTGAGAGAGGATGTCAAACATTATCACATCAGGTATGTGTGTTAAGTGTATGATATATTGCTTTCGTTGTTGCGTATTTGAACACAAGAATTTATTTCGAATAAAACGGTGTAACTTTCAAATAAAAAGGGATTAATAATAATCAATTAATAAATATAACAGTCTCATTTCCGAGGAAGGTTTTTTTATGTTTTTTTGTAAATTGATTGAATTATTACAATTATTGTTGAAGTCCCAAAAATCTTGACATGATATCCACTCGGGCGAAGATAGTATGTTAAAATTTGCATTAGAAAAACTTTTATCGAGTATTTTGTGATCACTAATAGTGATTAGTCACGTCTCTTAAAATGTCTGCCGTTTTATTAATGTATTTGACTGTTATTAAATTTTGTACTCCAGCAAATGAAAAAAGGATTTAAAATAATTATGTAAATCTAAAATTTCAGCGATGAACTCCGTGTTGGCCCTGGAGTAGACCTCTTCAACTTCTTGGCTGACTGTGTGCAGGACTTCCTCCGATCAGAAGGCATGGAGAAGGATGAACTGTCTCTTGGTAAATATAAGTGTTTTTACTTCGGTGCAGTAAATTACGATGGGACAGAGAATGTCCATAGTAATCTTCTAGTTCTTAGTCTTGAGTCTCGCGTTTCAAATTTAGTATATTTTGCCAATTATAACTTTATAAGAATCAGTGTTTTATGATTTATGACATTTGATTCATTCATTAGATTGTAATAACTCCTGGGTTGACCAGGAAACTCTGGGTTTTATTTCCAGAGAGACTTTTTTAACATTATTTCGAAGGGCGTTTTCTTAAACAAGCACAGTTTAATACTATTTGAGATATCTATGCTAAAGTCCTTCTTTTCCAGGTTTCACCTTCTCATTCCCCTTAAAACAGCATTCCATTTCATCTGGGGAGCTCACAACCTGGACTAAAAGCTTTAACTGTGAAGGCATGGCTGGTGTGGATGTAGCGGCCTTACTCCAGCGGTGTTTGAATGAAAGGGGTTTGAAGGTTACAGTGCAAGTTCTTCTGAATGACACCACTGGAACCTTGGTTGCTGGTGCTCACTTAGATCCTGAAGTCGCGGTTAGTGGCTGCCTATATTGGCTAATGCGACTTTTTCTGTGCATTAAAGATAAAATAAAGATCATGTATATTTCAAAACATGTGTGCAGTTGGTAGAAGTGAAACCTTCAAAAATTTTGGTTTCAAGATAATGAGACGAATGTAATTTTAAATTTTAAGTTTAATATCAATTATTAATTTTGATAAAAACTAAAATCATTAAAGTTTAAAAGTCGATGAAACGAAAAAGCGACGGTAAAAGGAGACGGACACATAAATTCATAAGATTTATCGTGGGAGAAAATGAGATAAAAAACAGTATCAGTGTATAAACTTTAAATTAGGTTAGTAAGAAGTTTTCACTTCAACAAATTATCATTACATTTTAATAATTACATTTTATTTAATGGTTGATCTTTATCTATCTCCAATACAATGAAAACTATATATAGCTAATTCTGATGATCTTAAATTGTAGTTGAAACGTAGAAAACGTTACTCGCATATCAAGAATTTTTATTTAAATCGAGAAACAGGCAGTTTACACATTTATGTAAAGCTTACAAGCATATGTACCACGGTGCGTAGCTAAGTGCTTATTTTTTTAATGCTTTTTCTACTTTTTAGATTGGTGTCATTCTGGGTACCGGTTCCAACGGTTGTTACATGGAGAGGGCTGATCGTGTCATGCATTGGGAGTCAGCCCATGAGAGAGTCCACGATGTCTGTGTCGATATTGAGTGGGGTGCATTTGGTGATAATGGCTGCCTGAACTTTTTGAGAACGGAGTTTGATAATGAGGTCGATCGGAAATCGTTGTTGGCTACGAGTTTTACGTGAGTTTCGCTTTTTGGTATATTATAGATTTTGGTCTCACTGCGATTTATCTGCGTGGTCCTATTTACTTTGACTAATTGTTAATTGAAGCATGGTGCAATGGTTGCAGTTCCTGTAAAATTGGCGATTAAAAAGAGTAGCAGAGAATTTAATTACAATTTTTTTCGCCCGTTCTATAACTTGGATTTGGGAATTCATTGTAAATGTAAATAATGACTTTGCGTTTCTAATTTTGACATTCATAGTTATCTATATGAATGAACAAATTTCGTTTGTTTCATTACTAAATTTTTTAGTAGTTTATTGTGAATTGAAAATGTTAACCTTTCTTAAGAGGATATTTATGTTCTAAATAACCATAGACGAAAAACAAAAATTATTTTAAATATGTATAAATCGAGCATTGTTGGCCTAGTGGCTTCAGCGTGCGACATCCTGAGGCTCATCCCTGAGGTCGTAGGTTCGAGCCCCGACTATGCACAAATAAACTTTCGAGAATAGAAATTCTATGTGCGCATTTAACATTCGCTCGAACGGTGTAAGAAACCGTCGTGAGGAAACCTTGCCTTAGTCCCAAAAAGTCGACGATGTGTGTCAGGCACGGGAGGCTCACCTACTTGCCTATTAGATTGACGATGTTCATGTAACAGATTCAGAAATCAGAGGGACAGGCCAACCTAAAAAAGGTTGTAGTGTCACTGGTTTCTTTATCAAGAGAGACAATGTATATAATTTTATTACATACATTTTTCTAGTGACAATGTGAGATCGTTATGAAAATTATTTAAAAACTATCTGTTCCCTACCACGCTTCGCTGTGGCACATTGTGATTGAATGGTTGAGAAATGAGAAACAAAACAAAGAATACATTTAATATAAGTTTAATTTTGCAATACTTGTGGAAAAAAAAATGAAAAAAAAAAAAAAAAAACAATCCAAAGATTATATATTATGCTAAAATTTCAGCTCGATCGGTGCAGAACTTTTTGAGCTTTTGAAGCGTACACAAACCAACATAACATTTCTATATACATATATAGATAGGGTAATTTTAATAATTTTCATTAGATTTGTATATTTCGTCTAATTAATTGTTAAACGTTGTTTTGATTTTTCAGATTTGAGAAATACATTGGTGGTAAATACTTGGGGGACCTGTTGTGTTCAGTGCTGGGAGGGCTTGCCAGGGACGGTGTCTTCCCTGCTGTACCCACATGGGGAGAACTTGCTAGTGCACACGTCAGCATGTTTGAAGAGTAAGATTTTTATCTTTTATTGGCCTGGGTAGGTAGGTAACTAGGTACCTGATTATTTAAGATTTACTCTATACGATAGGCACTGTCATTCTGGAGTGGAAAATTATATTGGCTCAGGATTTTTCTCAAAAATATATATTTATTCATATAGACACAGCTTAAAGACAGCCTGTCTACCATATGCTAACAACGAATTATACCATATTTCGGCCATACAATGCGCACAGGCAATGAGAACTTGATCGTGTTTGGTAACACAGAAGGCAATGGCCGTTCACCAACCAGATGGACCGATCAAGTGAAAGACTCATCGTCCTTAAAACTGTACACTGTATAAATACGCTGGACAGAAACCGGTGGAAACAGACTCCGCTCCAGGTGTTTCCTCGCTCACCACGTCGCTCAGAAACGAGCTACCGACTGAGGAAAGAGAGAAATTGGTCTGAAGCTTAATGAAAGTTCATGATAAGACTGTAACATCCAAAAAAGAAATAAAATTATGAATGTTTGGAAATACGTATTTTATTTAAGTTAATAGACGCTAGCGAAGCTAAGAGTCTAGTTAAATGATCTCTTATTATTAAATTATTTTCAGAGAAAATTCAGTTGGTGAGTGGAAACGTACGGCTGAGGCTCTTTGCGAAGCCTGTGGAGGCTCTACAATGTCACGCGCCGACGCCTTAGTCGCCCAACATGTCGCCCGTGTCATTTCAAACCGAGCTGCGCAGCTTGTATCTGTCTGTAAGTACATTTTTTTTATAATAAAATCTTTATTCATGACAAATAGGTTGTGACAAAATTCATATATCGCTAGTCCCCACGTCTGTGTAGTGAGTGTTTAACCAATAGATGTCGCTGTGTTACCTTGAATCGCGGTATTGTATTATCGTAAGAATCGTACATTTAATTTTCGATTTTACTTGTAATTTTATACTTAACAATGCGGATTAGGCTCTTAACTAAACTTTTTTAAATTGATCAGCTCACTACTAAATATATTAAGCTCTAGAGTCTGGCTAATGAAAGAAGATAACGAAAAAGCGCGGCAAATTAAAAAAAAATAGTATGGTATTTTGTGGACTAAACTTACTCGATACTTGATTTTATTATTTTTTACATTGATAGTAACTGTATTTCTTTGAAATTAAATACTATACTTATTTAGTATTTAATAATACTTAAAAATTAAAATTACTAGAATTGCATGGAAAAAACAATGAAAAGGTTGTTACCACACACATTTTTTTTTCAAAGTTCTGGGATTTAATTCTATTTTTCTGCTCTAAATCAGTGAGCTTACCAATAGTTCTCACGAGTATTGCATGGACTCCTGCATCCTCCAGATTTCCTGCGAAAGAAACGAAATATTCTATCAAATAAAAAACAAAATGGTGCGTGTACTTATGTACGCACGTAAGAAGTTATACTTCTTTGGCTTTCTTTTTTTTTTTAAATATTAAATAATTAATATTCAGCGTTAATAATTTAACAATATTTCATATTTAGTATATTATTCAATTATTAATTAATAACAATTATTATTTATTATTTTATTAATTTAATTTAATAACTAGGTATGTTTCATAACCTTTTAACTAAGTAACAATAGGTCTTTGTGAAAAAGCATTGCTAAATGTCTTTGAAAAAATAATTAAAACTCCTTTATTTGTTTAAAAGTTACTACAAATGTCATTATGGTGATTCAAAATTCTTGGCATAGCTGCTAACGTCACGCATATTCTATTTCTTTTTACTTGTAGATTGTCTTATTCCCATCTCGCTCGCGCACGCTCGGCGCCCATACTGATAATTTTGTGTCACGGTGTGCGCGCATCGTAAAATTTCACTCTCATAAATTTTTCATAACGCGCCTAAAGAAGTATAACTTCAAAAAAGTTTAGGCTAGTATACCTGTTAACTATTCGGAAAAAATATATAATAGAAATAAAAATGAGTAATTGCATGAAGTATCAAGACAATAAATCATACTAACCTATGAAATTCAATGACATTCTGTGTTGCCATCCTGTGTTTTCAAATAATTCAATTATCTTCTTTCATTAGCCAGACTCTAGAACAGTAGTGTTTATTATGTTATATCCGCGAGAGAGAACTCCGAGTTTGGATTTTGCAGACTGAATTTGGAAAATTCTGCTGACTTTGAACTTTGGAAATGAATAAGAGGCGACAATATTAATGCTCTTAAAATGATCATACATTTATATTACAGTAGATAAATAATTATTTTTATACATTTGTAGGTATCTCAACAATTCTGCGTCGTATGGAACGGAATCACACGTCCGTGGCCGTTGACGGGTCCGTTTTCAAAAGACATCCGCGTATCGCGAAACTCATGAACAAATATATCTCATTACTGGCTCCTAAGCACAAGGTAACATTTAGATAATACTTAGCATGATTCATATTCTGTCTTTAGTAATCTTTAGGTAAATTTTTGTTTGTTCTTCATAGTGACTTAAAAATAATAAAAAGCCTTTATTTATCCACATCTTATTTGCATATAAAAATAAATATATACTCCTTCTCCTCCTCACCAGCCACTTTAACGTTCCGGGAATTGAGAAGCTCTTTATTTTATACACATTTGAGGGGTAGTTCTTTAAAACTGAAGACCACTCAATATAACACAAAATTCCCTAAAAAACTGTCTCTCAAATGTAGCAGTGGCCGTCAAAAGAAGTATGTTAGTATTGTTAAAACGATATACTAACACACTCTCTTATTCACTAAGGTGTGTTGAAAACAGTTGAAAAAAAATGCAATTAAGTTATATATATATTTTTAAAGGATTTTTTTTTATTAAGTTTGTTATGTAGAGCTGGGATCGCTGACACAGGTATTTTTTTACTTGAAAGGGTTCCCAAATCTTTCAATTCAAAATTTTAATCAAACACATTATAATGAATAATTGTTGTCAAATGAATAAACACATTTTTAATATTCATTTTATTTTAACTTAATTTTGGACGCTTAGAATAGTCTATAATGTAATATTTTCTAAGTTATTTATTTGATCTATTATAATCATTATTACGAAAAAGACGGTCGCTGCTCAACTTCTTCATTTGTTGTAAATACTTTGTATTAAACAGAATTGAAGATTTCGTAATATTAATAAATGTAAAGTCTAGGAACGCAACTATTATGAAACAAATATAATAATCTCAGCATTTATCATTTGATATAATATATCTCCACAGGTTGTAAAAATCTTATGAAGGTCCTTTAAGGTATATTTTTTTACAGTTCACACTATTAGGCGCTGAAGATGGAAGTGGCAAGGGGTCTGCGTTGACAGCAGCAATTGCTGCCAGAGTTGCTGCAAGGCAATTCTAACATTAAATACAGGAATGTACTCGAAATGACTGACTATGATATAGAAGAGTAAATTTAGACATGAGTATTGCCTTCTTTTTCTAACGATGATGCTTACTCTATTCCGATTTTTAATTCCGTAGAATTGTGACAGCCATCATTTTTTGACATGTCAGAGATGGCAAACGTTTTTGGCCGGGCACATTTTTCAATACGAGTCTGAACACCTGAGTCTAAACATACATTTCATTTGCTAGTGAATGTATCCATTTAATTAAGCGCATTGCTCCACATAAAACTGGTTTAGAGGCGAGTGATAATTACGTCCCTTTTCATCGCAGTAAAAAACGCACAAGTTAAGATAACATTTTATTTTATTGAAAAGGTTTACTAAACCTGGAATTAGTAGGCAGGGATGCCAGCTAAAGAATAAAATAAAGTACCTAATTAAAGTTAATTCGATAAATTGTTCGAGATATTGAAATATTTGTTATTTTTGTATTAGGTCACTTGACTAAGTAAATATTATGATTTACCTTTTTGTAGGTAAAACATAAAAATACGTAGCATTTTATTTTTATTGCCCTCAAATGGATTAAATTTGTCCCTTTTTCGATGGAGAACTTTTTTTGTAGCAACACTTATGAAATGTCAAAACTCTACGGATTGAAAAATCGGAGTATATGTCAGCGGTTTGAGAGGGATGGCAATATATTTGTTATAACGACGTTTTAGTTTGGTAAAAGAGACAAAATTTATTGGAGTTTTTGTCTGATATTTGTATATGTATTTTAATACGAAATAATTTTACCATATAACATGATATATTTATAAATTTATAGTAAATATTGTTATTATTTTTACTATATATTGAACCATACTGTGATTGATGCACCTCGCAATTAAACAATTGTTAATTGTAGTGAACTTTCAGTTTCATAATACATTCCTCCATAAACAATGTTTTAACCGTCAAAACTTTTCAATTTGTAAAGTTAGTTTTTCTATATTTCGAATCGTCAGATTTAATTGATATTAAAATAACGATAGGAAACTTCATAGTCCATTTGCAAAGAGTTTCTCGCTTAAAAGGTATAAATTATGAAAATTATATAAAGGCCATGTAGAACGGATGAACAGAAGCGGTTAAAGCGAGAGAGGTATGGTAAGTGGAGATCCGTTGTCTCAGTCTACCTTCGCGAAAAAGGCGTGATATCATACATAAATAAATTGCCAACATATGTTGTATGTAAGAAAAGGCCCACCATGATCTGTGTGACTGATTTTGGTTTTTGTAAATTACTAAATATCGCCGAAAAACGTACGACAAACATTGCACCGTTTTACGTCTAAAATTAAAATTTGTTGATCAGAATTTTAATGTAAAAAGGAAAATGATTAGATCGTGATATTTTTTCAACGTTCACACTTTTGTCACCGTTTCCTATATATTGTTATTAAGATACACTTCAAATATATTTTCGATTTTATTGTTGTAGGAATAGGATAGAATTTTGCTCGATGTCTCGCAAGCCGAGTTAACCATTTACGTAGATATAGTTTAATTTATGTGCCATATCCATATATAGATAATTAGACCATTCAAATTGCATATCATTATGTTAAGTGGGTTGTTAAATTATTAAATATTTATATAATTTTAAGCATATTTGAACAGGTCACTATGCGACAGTAGTCCCTGCGATTATTTACAAGCACTTAGAACTACTTATTGAGATTTATGTATATCCCTAAGGTAAAACTGTATCAATTAGGATTGGTCATTTGTAAATTGAAGCTAGGTTAGTAGATACTATAAGTATGTAATTGTTATACATTTGTTGTTACAGGAATATATAGTTATTAATGAGATGTTATATATAAGACTTATTGAAGAATAAAGCTTTTTATGTATACATATTTAATTTCTCTTTAATTTAGTTTACTAAGCTAAGAAATAAACTTAACAATTGGCTGTTAATCTTTTGTCATTAACAAAATGACAATTATATTATCACGAGAACTTAATTATTAATCGCCATCGGACAGCAGTTTTAATTTTGTAATTTAGACCTTTGGACTCGTAGTATGTAATTTTAAAGCACTTATAAATTTATTAAATAGAAACATACGAATGTTTTTTAAGGTAATTAATGAAATAATTGCACACCCTTACAACACAACAGTTAAGGGAACTTAGGAGAATTTTCTACTTGCAATAAATCTTTATACACTATAAGACACAGTCACCATTTCACAGCATTGATGTCCCGATATAGTAGAGTACTAAATGACACAGAAATTATGGGCGAAATTAAATATAAAATAAAAATAGCCTTTTTTTGATTACTACATTAGATTACATTAAGTCCATATCTAACTACTTAGTACTCGACCTTCGTCTGAGTGAAGGCCTGAGCCAAAGCAATGGGCTTAAGTACCACATAAAAATAAGTAACCAAAAAATCTCGCCAACTAAGTAACGTGCCTCTAAGGGACACCATTATTTATCCTTCACAAATAAAACAAAATATTAAGCAAGAAAGAGTTTATAATTTTAAAATAACAGTAACTTTAGTGTTTACACTAAGGCTGCTGCCTCGAATTTTGCGGGCAGCGGGGCGGCAGCGGCGGAGGCAGCAGCCTTAAGGTCTTAATTTTCTATAAAGGTAACATTTGAGTTTCATTATTTATGCATACAAGGATGCATTATCTGTATTAGTATTTTCTTTTATAAAATCTAAAATTCAGCATATAACGATAATTATGACAAAACGGACTACATTTATATTAATATTATAAAAAGGAATTTGTATTTATGTAACGAAAAACAATTCAGCAGTATCGGAGGTTGCAATGCCTAAATAATAATATTAAATATGAAGAAAAAATTTAATTGAATGCCACTAGGCCATAAAAAAACTGTATGAAATATTGATCAAAAACACTATGTATCGAAAAATGCTAGTAAATATTCCAATATTTGACGACTTCACTATTGACTTTAATTTTAAAGAGGTATATCTAATCAGATGCCATCAAATCATTAACTGTTAGTATACGTACCTAAATTTAAAATACGATAAATAAATCAGTGGCGCAACAAACTTTTTAGGTATGGGCCTCAAATATCCCTATCTCTTTTATTTGTCATTCTAATAGGCAAGTAGGTAATCCGACTCCTGTGCCTGGCTATCCGACACACCGTCGACTATTTGGGTCTAAGGCGAGCCGGTTTCCTTCACCGTTCGAGCGAATGTTAAATGCGCACATAATAAGAAAGTCCATTGGCGCATAGGCGGGGATCGAACTTACGACCTCAAGGATGAGAGTCGCACGCTGAAGCCACTAGGCCTATTGCTCTAACAACTTAAATTTACTTATTAACAATAGTTTTATATTGTTACCGCTTTATTAGTATCAAAATTTAAAAAATTAATTAAAATTTAATTTAAATAAAATATGTGAATAATCAAAATTATAAATTTAACTTAACAATAAGAGGAATTGCACGAATAGCCCAATTGTTTGTCTGCTTCAATCATGATCAGGTCACTTCCACTTTCTCCCGTACCTTCCGAAGGATACTCTGCAACTCTGATGCTGATGTGGTTCTGTACTGCTCGCGGATACACCACCAAAAAATAAATGACATTTTGTTATAAATTAATTAAATAAAACGACTATCCAATATTGCATCTTGTAGAAGCTATTAAACCCAAAATCTTACCCCAGAAATATTTCGTTGTACGAGTACTTGGCTGTACAGGCGTTTCCCCTCATCAGCCCCCAGGACTCTTTCAAGTTGTGCTCTGGAGAGGGCAAACAGCTGGTGCCCTGATACATGCAGTTGCTTTTGAGCAGTCCGACTGAAGCCTTTTGCTTCTAACCATGATAACACTTCATCTGGATTCGATTTCTGTAAAATAAAATTAAGATAGCAAATAAAAAAAACTCTGAGTCCGTGGCCTACAATTATGGCCGTGGCCACAAGGACCAAACTTTTTAAATTTGTTTTAATTTTCTTTTTATTAATTTTTAATTATCCTTTTATTATTACTATGTAGGTTAAGAAAATTGTAAATACTGTATGTTTGATTGTTATTATTACTAATAAACGTTGTATATTTTATTTTAATATTAAATTTAAATAATTAAAGTAATTATTTATTTACCGAATATAACTGATAGAGAGATAGATAAATTTACCTGATGTATGAAAATGTCTGGAGTCTTCTTGATTTCGAGCCTACGTTGAATCTGTGGCAATACAGCCATCAGCTCCTCGTGAAGACCACTGCTGGTGCTCATAACAGACTTGGTAGCTGTAACATGTCACGATGAAGTTAAATAGCCTTGATAATAATAATAACAATTTATTTGCAAGAATATGGTACAATCTAAAGTTCGCATTCTGCCACACATAATGGCGTGCAAATTTGTCTTTGAAGAATAGAAGTTATAATTACATTACAACGCCATATACGAGTAGTCAATTCTTATCTTTTTTTATCACTACATTATCACATCATCATATAATGTCTGGTTTTGTTAATTTATAACTGATTCTCATGAAACCGTGTTATTTTTTTTCATTGCTTCTCAACTAAGAAAAGTTTTGAAAGGAAAAAGCTAAAGTTAGAGAAATTGATAGTTTTTATTGATTAATATTGTATATATTTGTTTTCCAGAAATGCCAACCATATCAATCTCACCTACTAAGTTTATAACGACTTGTGTAACCTTTATCGTCGCTTCTGTGAATTCGCTGAAAAGTATGTTAGGTACTTACATTTCATAGTATCAGTTTTGGTAACCGGTGGCGGTGGAGCAACCGGCGGTTCTGGCGGGGGCGGTGGCGGAGGAGGCGGAGGGGGAATTGGTTTTTCTGTAACGAGTTGTTTGTTTGTGAACTATTTTATATCTCAACTAGCGGACCAGACAGACATGCTCTGTACACATGACATACTTAAAAAAAAAAATTTAATTATAAATCTAAACCCTTCTCCAACACACACAAAAATTTCATTTAAATCGGTTTGTTTAGGAGGAGTTGGTTTACAAACACTCACAGACGACTTATAAATTAAGATGCCCTGTAGCCTAGCCATAATCTAATATGATTGAACGTGTCTGACATTGGCAGACACATTTATGTCTCTGACAATGTAGGTATAGATCATATACCTGAAACAATTTTAGATCTATACCAGCCAATTATTTCGATAGAATTGAACCCATTGCTATATATGCTAAGAATTATTATTGTTACATTATTTTAAACGCATGTCAACGTACGTACGCAACGCGTGAGTACGCATAAATAAATGTGTGCACCAAAACTAATGCACTCGTGTCTCTTTTTAATACAGCTTAAACACGATATGACAGTAGAGACAAAACTTTTCTTGAAGAGGGAAATGGACTGATTTAGTTCTTATGAATAAGGAAACAGAAGTGTTCACAGACTAGACTACACAAAGAGATTTCTAAAGACCTATTATAAATAGTTGAAAATTAAGATCCTTTATAGTTTATGATTAAAATAGGTTTTAACAGTCAACACTTACCCACATCGAAAACAAACACACAAAGCAATACAAACCTTATAAACACTGTTAATACATGTTTTGAAACTCCACACATACAATAAACTGTTATTTTTTATAGTTTCGTTTTGTTTAATGTAAGCCTTATTAGATTTTGATACGTCACAAGGAGAAAGGACAGAAGGAAACCACAATTGGTAGATTACGAGTTTATTATAAGATTAAAAACTCATTTTACATATAATTTCTGAAAGCGCGCAAACAAAAATCCTGTAAACTTAGAGGTTATTACAGATTAACCATTGATAATAATATATCTGTCTCTGATTAATAACTTCCCACGTATATCATGAACAGCTGATAGCTCACGAGGTCAAAGACCTCAGGTAAAAGACCTTTTGACTGAATTTGCGATTATTTTTCTTTTAAGCAAAATGTTTTTGTATTTATTTCTCATATTTAAATGTTCACAGGGTTTTTGTTGATTATAACATATTTTAAATGTACGTCTTTAATATCTTAAGATATGTACATTATCATTAGCGATCACAGACGCTATTAAAAAAAATTGCATATAAAAATGTTTCATTTCTTGGTATGTTGAGTATTTTAAATAGAAAAGAGCAAAACTTTATAGAAATATATAAAAGCCTTAATTAAGGCGCGCTTTCGTATATCTTACATTATTTGTTCGCTCTGTCATACACAGAGTAATAAATATAGTATATAAAAATAGACTCTGTTTTATAGTGTAGAAAACGTAGTGTTTAAAAGACATTGCCAAGCGCACACCGAATTACACTAGCACATAGCAACACACAAGAAACCAGAAATATAAGTCAAAAACTTACCGAAATTTAAGAAAGTCTCCAAACCAAACAGTGTTAATATTATATCTAGCTTTTTGACATGATTCGTTAGCAATAATTTAATTCTCAAGGGAAACTCATTCACCATCGAAAAGAAAAATTAATGAAATATAATATGATATTTAAGTTTCGCCTGGAGGCTTCCTTAAAATAGGAAACAATAAGATATTTCTGTTTTTCATCTAAACACCATGGTTCTAGCCGCTACAGCTTGTTTGTTGAGCTGATTCGCGATTAACTTCACGCTAGTTTTGTGATGACCAGTCTGAAGTTAGTCGAAATCTTTACAGTCCTTACGCTAAATGCAAGTTAGTACGCGGTTAGGTATCTACATAATAAATATAAATTATGACTTATTTTACTCGGAAATATCTTCTTTATATATGTAAACCGAAAAAGAATGGTTATAGATTAGGCTTAGATAGGTTTTTGGTCTATTTTACTTTTTTAAATCTGTTAACAGATAAAGATTATTGTGTTATACATATAATGTATGTAAACCGTTTTATGTATTGGTTTTTAGTATGTTTATGTTATTATAAATCATTTTGCCTTAAACTTTGCGTTGTTAAGGAAATCCTAGCCTAATTAACAACCATTATTGAGCTTGTAGCGGCTAGAAATAGCGGAATTCTCCCTTTTTGCCAATACGTTCATTGCGAACCCACTCCGCGCCCGCCCTACCCGCTGGCACTGTGGGACTGCTTCCGCCGGAACCACGTCCGCCGCTTGTGCCCTCCTAGAAACAAAATTATAATCATCTATTTGGTTAAGAGAAGCGTAAGGAGACGATATAAAGGATAATGAATTATGGTAATGTTCAAAAATTAACCTAAACTTTTCATTAATTTATGTACTTCTCCTAAAAGGCATTGGCGTATATTTTAGTGTTTATCATTGAATAATTAGTAACATTTTGTATTATTATTTTTAAACAACGGCTTGAACTATTTGTATTTCTTAAGTAATTGAAGCGCAAGTAAAAGCTGAAAGACGGGGAGAAAATAAAACTATAGTATTAACACTACGCCGTGACAGACAATGCAAATTGTCGATAAAACAGAGCAAGCGCCAACTAGCGGCCCAGACTGTTTTACCGACGTTTGAACAGATATTCAGGGTGTCGGTTTTTGTGACGGTGTGTTTTTTTTTTCTTTAAACTAAAACTATATTATTTTCGCTCTAATACTAGCTTAAACTCCGGGGTATTTTTTTCATAGTACGGATTTTTATGGAAATTAGGTGTAATAAAAAAAGAAAAACTAACCTGATAATGAGTATAGATGGGGTTCGGGTACAGGTGAGGTGAAGAGGGTGGGGTGATAGCAGGTGCAACGATCGTGTGCGGGACATGTGCGGTCACACCCCGCCGGTTTCTGGCCTTCCACCATTTCCGGGAGTCATCTAGCACCTGTAGACAAATATAATTTTTAATTATAACGATTATTATTTTATGTTTCGTCAAACGGTTACAAAATGACAGTTTTATATTTTTAAAGCAATGTATTAATTTTATAATGAAAAACAATTAAATTTAAAAATCTTGTAAGCATTCATACAAAATGTTTGTCTTTCATAATTTAAAAACAAGTAGCTCATGCGCAATATATTCGTGAAAAGCATCCCTTGAGATTGATTTTATAGACGGTATTTTACTTTTAAAAAACGTGTGTGTACTTATGTACTCGCGTTAGAAGTAATACTTTTTTGGCGTAATAATTTTCTTCGGGCACTTTAGAGGGACGTTTCCCTCTTCGAATTGCATTTTTCTTGCCCATTTTAATGTTCACTTCCAATCGAAACGATATAATATCTACTAATCATGATATTTTACAATAAACACTATGTTTTTTATCACATTGGAACGGGTTTTCTCGTATAGAAATCATTATTTTGGTTTAAATAAACACGACTCTGAAAACACTACGCCATGACAGACAATGCAACTTGTCGATAAAACAGAGCAAGCGCCAAGTAGCGGCCCAGACTGTTTTACCGACGTTTGAACAGATATTCAGGGTGTCGGTTTTTTGTGACGGTGTGTTTTTCTGTTAGTTTTAGTTTTGTAATATCGTTTAAGTAGTCTACAAACCTCAAGATATTCTCCGCGAACCACAGTTAGTTCTTTATCATTATTAGCAGTCCGTGGATATGTCACACGCACCACGCGACCACCACGAGCAGCCACACCTTGCGCCCAGGCTTCACCCAGATCATCTGAAAGTATTAACATATTCTATATTATATTAAAGTCAGAGTTATTTACAATAATTGTAATCTGTGTGCTTTGGTGCAGTTAATGAAATTACGTATAAAATTGTTACTGTATTGTCACCTTTTAAGGGCTTTGAAGTTAATAGGAGCCAAACGGACAGGAGGCTCACCAGATGTTAAGTTATACCGCTGCCTATGGACACTCACAAAAAGGCTCGCAAGTGCGTTGGGGGTAAAGAATTGGTACGCTCTTTTCTTGCAGGACCCTAAGTCGAATTGGTTCGGAAATATTTCAGTGGGCAGCTGGTTCCACATAGTGATGGTGCGCGGCAAAAACTACCTGGAGAAACGTTCAGTTGTGGAACGACGGACGTCGAGGTGATACGGATGGTATTTCTATATGGTATTTCCGTGTGCCTTGACGTCCGATAATGAAACTCAGCTGCAGCTATTAGTCCGAACAACTCCTCTGAACACTCTCCATGGTAAATGCGGTAGAATATACAGAGAGACTCCACAACGCCAAGGGATCAAGCCACACGGAAAGTGACTGGTCGTTGACGATTCGAGCCGCTCTTCTTAATACGTTAAAATCATGTGCTAGCTTGTGATTAAATAGATTAAAATGTGTGATATTTCTTATGTAATAATTACCATCATCTCTTTCTCTTTCAGGAGGGCGATACTGTGCCTCTCTTTCCGGAGAAGAAGCAGCCGATTCTGAATCCTCTGCTCTGGTACGGGTATTCCTGTAGAGATTTTTAATTGTCATTATTCAGGCTACTACTAAAACCTTAGTAACGGGACTAATATTATTCGTTCAGAAAATCGTTTTCAATGATGTATAATATTTTCTAGTATATAAATAAGAATAGCGGAAATAAATTAATTAAAAAGTGATTTTGCTTTGAATAGTTGGAAGACGAAGAAGATGAGTTGTAATGAACAATGCATAACCAAAAATGAAGTTCTATTGAAAGTTCAATGACAATGTAACATAGAGCAAACGAAGATGATACCTTGGGAAAGGTGCGTATTCCCTCTCCCCATATACATCCGGTTCGTCTCTTTCAAACCCGTACCCTTCCGCCGCAATCGCTGCTGCTTCCTCTACTCTTCCTTCGCTTCGGCGTGGTGATGGTCTTTGTAAAGGACAACACATAAGCATGATGATGAGGAGAAATAAATGATAATGGTCATGTTTATGATTTCAAACCCCACGATAAACGAATAAGTATCGCTATACAACGAGGGAATGCAAATGCGAAAAAGTTTTAACGCAAAAGTACACTGGGACCAAACTTTTTAAATCTGTTTAAATTCTATATTTATCCACTTTTAATTATTATTATTACTATGTAGTTAAAAACTGTATACTGTTTAGTTTTGAGTTCAAACATGTTATAAGAAATATTAATATAATATTTCAATAATCTTGCCATTATGTTATAATAGCCCATTTGTACTTCAGTATTTAAAGAATTAAGGTCAATTATAATTGTATTACAAATATTTCATAATAGATAAATTTCTAGACGTGACGTGACAACAATATTATTGTAGAAATACTTTATTAGTTGACGTAATAGATAACGTTGTAAATTTTTTAAAACTCCTTTTAAACACGTTTTGTAACATCGATACGATTTCTAAGAAAACATTTAAATGTACATTGTAATGGATAAAAGCAACAAAACTATGAACCCATAAGCAATAGTGCGTTGTCTGATTTTAGGGAGAATTTTTTTTGAATATTTGGAGGTCCTAGGGAAGTGTGCAAGATATGTTTAACAAGGAGTTGAGATTGAGGTATCTGCTACCTTCTTAACGGCTGATCGTCCACTTGGTAGTCTGGCGTCCATCCATCCATGAAAACTGGCTGGTATGGTGGTATAGTTGTCTTCCACTGTTCTCTGTAAATTAATATATATACATTTATGACTATGCTTTAAGATATTATAAGTTATTGAGTTGACTACAAAGTATCAAAATCTAGACAATATTAAATAGTATTTAGGTAGTACAATGTACTATTTATTTCCAACACACGTATACAGTATTCTTAACCTACATAGTAGTAATAATAATAATATAAAAAATTGATTAATTAATTAATTAAGGAATTTGACGAATATACTAGCGAGTCAACTAAAAGTTTCCAAAGCGCGAACAAATAAAATATTCCTTTTAAATTTCGTGTAAAAATTAAAACACTCACCTCGGAATCAACCAAGCGTCTCCAAGCGAATGCCACAATTCAGTCTCTTTACTGGTCACACAATTAGCCAATAGATTGAGCGCGTCCCTCGTCAACAAAGGCTGTATCACCCGTGAGGGTAACCTGCCATCCGCCACGTCCTGCGCCGCATCGACAATCAAGGCCAACGGAGTGAATAGAAAATGCACCAGCTCCGGAGCATTGGGGTCGTGAATGTGCGTGCGTAATCTCGCTAGCAAATTAAAAGACAGCTTAAACTTCTGCAGGACGTCCACGAAGTCTCTCTCAGGGGGTGGACGGGTCCGTAAAGCGAGCATCCCCTCCCCCGTCCCCTTCTTCCCCCCTCTAGATCGTCGCCGACGTTCCAATTCACGTGACGCAGCTGCGGCGTGCTGCAGCCGCGCTATGAATTTTTCTATGTCGTCAAAGCAACGGTTTAAAATTGCAATGTCCTGTTCGTAGAGACGTTCAGAGCCGGTGGATGAGGCGTCATCTCTTTCTCCCGCTGAACCACGATCGCGGCCCAGTTGTGCAGACATTTGCTGAAAAAAAAACATTAAATGGACATTCGTAAAAGAGCTATTATAGTGATTATCAACTAGATAATTACATCTACGTAGTATTATATTTTGTAGATTTACCGTTGTTCTAAATGAACAGGTCTTTGAACGCCAGCCTTCAGGTTTGAGAAAGAATCAGCCACTAAGTTAATATGACATTACGAATTAAAATATTTTAATTATCTAAATATATCAATTGTCACTTCCTTGATTAGATATTATCAGTATAGAGTTCGTAATTAGCCATGTTGCTGATTTAATTAAGTGCAGAAATAGGCAAAACGAATATCAATCAAAGATAATTTTGATAATAATTTTTGGAGAATTTTTATTCTTTGTTTGAAATTTATGGGTTATTATTATAATTATTATATTATGGGTACTTTTAACTTGTCCCTTCTCTAGTACCTCCTGGATTGTTCCAGGTATGTAAGACAAGGCCTACCTAACCTGATTTCACCATCTACGATTTCCTTGTTAACAGCTTCTTATCGTCCGTTCTACATGGTCAAACCACCTAAGCATTCCCATTCGTATCGTTGTCTTCTCCTCTTTTAACACACACTACTCACGTATCTCACTATTACTTATCCTATCACACAATGTTACACCATACATATTTATTAACGCTCTCATTTTCACGGCATTATTCTACTCTCATTCTCTTTCTGCCACACCCAAGATCCACAACCGTATGTTTCAAGCATTCTCCTCGGTACGGCTCTGGAGCCTCGTTTGAGAATTTTTTTGTTTATACATAAAGGAATGCAATGCTCCATAAACTCTATTCCCAGCATTTACTCGGCTCTCTGTATCATCGTCATACTTTCCACCCGGAGTAAACATACTGCCTAATTACACGAACTTATCAACTTCTTCCAATTTTTTTTAACTTGTTTAATTTCTCATATCTTACAATTGAACGCTTTTTGCAAATAAGAAATGAGATATTCTTGAAAATAATATAGTGTTTATACTATATTATGTATATACACTATATTTAACTTACGGTAATAACAGCCTCCCATTGTTGTTTGGTAAACGTGCGATACGCTGGAGGCATACTATTCAACTAATGAATAATCAGTGATATTGAATTAATCCAAATATCATTTTCGTACGCTTTATTGTGCGATGTATTATCACCTGCAGTATGCTAATAGGTACGAAGCGTTCTATTCTTCCGTTAAAAGTTAAACGCAATGTGAAAAACAACGAAAAACGAAGCCTTACAAAAATGACAGACATGGTAACACGCTCAAAAAATGGGCCGGTCGCTTTGCCCGAGTTTGTTATGGCAGATGGGCCATAAATACCCTTACTTGGAATGGCCCAGTGGTTAGAAAAAATGAGGAGCAGAATCCGGGGAAGATGAAATATAAGAGATAGCGGGTAAGATTGGAAAACAGTAAAGAAGATGACAAATGGAATAATTTGGCGGCCTTCAATCTGTCGAAGGTTACTACTACTAATATTAAATACATAATAAGTAATAACAACATATATATAAATATTAAAATACAATGTAATAATAACATAAACTTAATGCAATCCCTATTATAGGACCTACTCGAATAAAGGCTGTTTTTATTTTATTTATTATCACCTAGGACTATATACTATTTACCAAGTTAATTTCTTGAAATGATAATTTTGGAAATCTGTCCTCTATTTGGCGGTTACGACACTTTAAATTACTTGAACTTTCAGACCCCTGTATGAAAATTTTGACAATAAGTCAAAAGTAGTTTTAAAATCTTCTATAGACATACAATTGTACTATATTTAATTCAGATAAGATAATTTTAATCCAACCTAATCGGTGTATTATAAAGGTAGTAGAAAATCATCTATCAAATTTAATTCCAAGTTAAGCGAAGCGACCTTGCTAGCTGAATTCTGATTATAGACCGAAGAAGAAGTGGTCAAGAAGGTGGGCTTATGACCTAAATAGCAGGAAAAGACGTATTTCTTGCCGTATTTAATGATAACTGCTTATATATTATTATTATTATATACCGAATGTCTATATAATGATTTCACATAAATGCCTATAAATATACATAGAGTACTTCATTTAAAATTAAAGAAATCTTTATATATGTCTATATGAGGTTTATTGCTACGCACGTTTATCGAATATATGTTTCGTTTGAATATATTTTAGCCACGCAACATAGGCATTTGAATGTTATCGTTGTGATAAGCCATAGTACGTAAGCGTGTTTCTGATAATACATTTCTAGTAAACAGTTATAGTAATATACTGTGTTATTTTTTTTATGGAACAGGCCGAAAGAGGGCAGTGGTCTCATCTGATGTTATGTTATATTGCCGCCCATGGACACTCACACACTCGCACATTGCAAGTGCGTTGCGGCCTATTAAGCATCGGTACGCTCTTTTCTTGAAGGACTCAAAGTCCAATTGATTCGGTAGACAGCAGCACATACATACATAATTTGTTCTAAAACTGTTCGACACTTGCCCGAGAAATACCTCGGCAAGGCACCTCTGAGTATCTTCAGTGCAATCGTACGCAAGCAGTGAATATTTCTAAGTTGCAACATATCGTTGATATGTAGAAGAAACAGGGACGGAGATAAGACACAGCCTTGTGGGAGCCCCAGGGTTCACGGGTTTTCGGTAGGAACATGCGCCGTCGATAACGACCTTGATGCTCCGATCAGCGAGAATGCTGGAAATCTAGTAGGATAATTTTTCAGGGAGCTCATAGGTTGGGAGCTTCGGAAGCTCTCTGTGCTACACTCGATCGAAGGCTTTCGTTATGTCCTATAAAATTACCACTAGTGGGTAAGGCCTTTGGACTAGATTATCTCTGTCCATCTATGTGTAAAGTAAACGACAAGGTTGCCAGCTACACCAAAAAATCCGTATTAACAATCGCCAAACAGCTGGTGGCTCTCTAGATATCTCAGGAGTTCGCTGTTAATAATAGTTTTTATTATTTTAAAGATCAAGGAGTTTATATCTTAACATTGATTTTACTGTACTTTTTGGTTATCAATCAGGCAAAGTATCTTAATTAACACATTTCTAGGTCCTATTAATTATAATTAGACAATTGAATTGATTAAAGTAATTGTCATAACAAACTTTGACAGTTAGGTTAACTTTTTAAATGGATATTTTTAAGTTTAAAAAGCCCAGCAACGCACTCGCGAGACTTCCAGAAATGTAAATGACCATGGGCTGTATCACTTTTCATCACGTTAACATCGTTTCGCCTGCGCTATAAAAAAGTTTCACCTACCTGTCGCCTCGGTCTGTCCATCTCCGTCTCCTTCTCTCTTTCTCTTTCCCGCTCGATCACGAAGTCTCGACCGCCTTCTGAGCCACCGCTGCCTATACCCCTGTAATATAAGGTTTTATGTTATCATTTGTCTTTGAAATTAAATAGTCCGCATGTAAATAAAAACACGATTTATTGTATGAATACAAGGCTTGCACATACACAATGAAAGACACAATTATATCTAGGTAACATTTTTGTAAACAACTGTGGAATTTATATATTTTGATAGTAATTTAGTTCACGTATGACGAAACCAAAATTTGCACCAAAACGTATAGGCACAATTTTGATCAACGCATCGGTAAAGAAAATATTCTAACCTTTCGCCAACCTAAATCTAGACTGTCTAAATCTCTACTTCTTCTTTTACTCTGAACTAAAGAGCCACGGTAGCACAGGCTGATGACCTACTTTCCTATAAAAAAATGATCAGGAAAACAAATGCAGTCTGTTAAACTATAGACAGAGGAATAAAATACCATATCGTAGAACCAGGTAATCTAAAATTTAGTTGAAAGTGGAACATCACTTCACTTCACATCTCACTCACACACTGGTTTATCGCGAGGTATAAGGATGGTCCTAAGATATTTATCTTAAGATGCATTTATCTGATACGTTATCGTTTGTACTTTAAAATATTAGGTCACCAAAGAATTTAACGCATTCCTGTTTGTATTAAGATCGCCAGAATTGATTTTGTAACATCGCTTTCCTGCGAAACAAGTTTGGACTTGAAAATAGTTAAAAATATTTATTTTAATTCAAACTTAAACCTACGTGTTTTCACCAGTCCAACTATTATTTGTTGTATGAAGTGGATTAAATCGTGGTTAAATTTAACAAATGAATATTATATAACAAATACTTTAAACCAACAAAAGGCTTTCAACATACAAATATACAGTATTTACAATTTTCTATAATAATAATTAAAAAATTATAAAAAATAAATCTGAAGTTATATATTTTAGAATGCTAAAGACGATATTATGATTTGAGATACAAATTGAAAAAAACTTGAAGAAGTTTTATTAGTTTCAATTAACTTGAACACTTTCACAGCCCTCAAAGATATACCTCAAGATCATTTCAATTAAATTTCTAAAATTCTTTAGATATACCAAACACTACAATATATATTAGAAAAAATAAGGAATATCCTATTTAGGAGCCTTCAGATGACCCGAAAGAATTGATTTGTCAGAAACTCAAGACAAAAAACGATAACCATAATACTCACTTAAGAGCATTTAATTCTTCAACAAGTGTCTGTGCACTGACGTCATGGCATTGGAAGATGTGTAACTCCCGTCTGGAGCCACCAGGGGAGCCACCACCACTCTCTGGGGCCCCTACTACAAAGGCCAACACGTTGTTGTAGAGTTCAGCAGGTTCTGGCGATGTGAAGGCTGTTGGTGAGTGCACCCAGTTGGCTGGGAAACGCTCCATTATGGACTGCAAATGTTTTACAATGATTAATAAATAGCAATTATAGTATTGCGACTACGGTGTTTGGCGTATTCGCTACAATGAAGAACTTTATATCATCCTTGACGACGCCAACATCGTCCAATTCAGAAAATGCAACAGCCTCAACCTCAACGTCAAGAGAAAACCCGGTAGACCAAGGCTGCGTTAGTGGGATGGAGTTGTCAGGGACCTCGAAACAATAGGAGTTCGAAGAAGCACGAAATAGATTGCGATGGCGAAATATACTTGAGCAGGCCCACAGGGGGCTATAGCCATTGATTGATGATGATGATGAAACATTTATAGTGTTTTAACTTAACTTACAATGGTAAAAGCTATATGGTATATATATGTTTTGGTATAAGCGAATTTTACTATTTTTATTATAGATAATTTTACTGTTCGTAGCAACTACAACTGGTTGAATATAGAACTCGGGTCTTAGGGCAGTTAAAACGTTTTTGTATCTTCGTAATTACATAGATAATTTAATTTATTAATAATAGTATTTACAGCTGTGACAATGTCCTGAAATGGAGGACAAGCACAGTCAGCGAAGCGTTGGCCAGCCTCCCACTAGGTAGATAGATGATCTGGTGATATGCAGAGCGAAAAACCGGAAAACCGGTCGTACTGGAAATTCAGGAGATGCCTATGTCCAGCAGTGGACGTCTACAACTACTAATTATTATTAATTTGTAGTTGTTGACGACTATTTATATGCTGGACACTACAAAAATAGTCATTCCTTAACACATTACTAAATCGACTTCTGACTGAATTTGAATGTTGTAAACGAAACTGCATTTGGGCTGCGCAATGTAAGTAATGCAATTTAGTACGAATAGGTACGACTTTAAATCGATGGTTAAGAAGAATGTATCAGCCTCTACTTACCCCAGTTTCATAATCCATAACTAGAACCCACTGATCCTCAAGAGATAACTGCATCTTTTGACTCCATATTCCTGGGGAATGGAATAACCTTATCAAATAAAACATAGGTACAAAAATATTTTAAGTCATGCGTGGAGTCTGCAAATATGTTATATAAATAAAATGATTTAGTAGATATATTGCAATTGCAGTCACTGTTTATGTTATTTTTTATGTAACATTATTAGAATTAAGTTTACATAAAAGAATTGTAAGTAAAAAATTCATCATGTTCGTAGAACAATGTCGGATTTGAATATTGATCATATTTGGATGCTACATTGACTAAATATTACAGCTAATCAGTCGGTAAAATGACAAAAGAAGAAGCATGTGATTTTTCTGGAAAATTGTGTATTTTAATGTTATACTTTTTATTTTGTTTCAAAGCAAACCGTTTTGTTTGCTTGTATGCCAATTTTCATAATAACAGAATATGAATTAAACCAGTTATGACAAAAAACTAACAATATTATATTATTTTGAAATGGCTGCCCTGTAAAGTTTACTATTTGTCAGATCCGTCACTATTCTACGACTATGACGAACTTTACCGTTTGTTTTCTCCAACTGAAGCAGTCGTCGCATGCCATCAGCTGGGTAGACGATACCCGTCTCCCTGGTCACGGTAAACGTGGCCAGATGTTCCAGAACATACACGGCCCTACCCCGAAGACCGGCTAACTGCTCGAACTCATCCATTGCTCGCGCTGCCTATGATAAAAGTCCATTTAATGCCAGAATGAATTATATATTTTTTTATGTTTTGTAAACAATTTTTATAATATTTGTATTCAAAATGTATTGTAAAATATAAACACGAACTGCCGTGCGATTCTGTTAATCCGTGAGTTCACCTCGCACTAACGACACTCCCTTCGTCACTCACGTCATTTTTGGAATCTCATGGTATTCTGTTAAGCAATTTCACATTACGTCTTGACAAGCGGAGGGAGTTTGTAGTTTATTGTTTATCAGAATGCCAAATCGTAAAATGACTGCTGCACGACTGAAAATGACTGAGCGCGACCGCCGCTGCGCAAACCGCCGTGAGAGTTCGAAAAGTAAGTTACAGAATCGCCAAGGCTGGTACTTGAAAGTTGCAAGAATACGTTTGTACAACCCTACACTTTGTTATATTAGTTGAAAGAACTTGGTTTTTAGGTGGTACATGACAGAGAGTGTCACAGTGCAGACAGAAATATCGGAATTTGGAAGAGGCCTTTGCCAAAAAAAGGGCACACGGATATTTAAAAGAATGAGATGATTGAAATATGTGTTTAACTGTAGGTATGTGTTTAAAGTATTTGAAATAAAAGGCTATTAGCATTATATGTGTTAGGTTAACACCATACGTTAGGCCTTCAAACAGAAAATGAAGAGACATAGTATAAGAAATTAATGTTTTTTACACATGTCCAGTTTTATTTTATACCCGCTGAGTCTAAAACTAATTTATTTCACGATGAGTAAAAGGGTTTTTACCTGCGAGTCCCCCCCTCGGGATCTTCCCCCCGCTGTTGCGCCGCCACTCCGCATTGCCATTTCCGGTCAGTACCTCATCTTCATAAGAAATTTGTTAATTGATCTGAAACAATATATTTTTGTTAGCCTGTTAGATCTTTATGACAATAGATAATGCAAGTGTTAATCATACAATTTGTACAGTTAGTACACGAATTCTATTAATAATAATAATTTATTTATTGGAAGAATATGGTACAACAATGTGTAAGGTGGTACAATCGTAAGTTCGCATATTCTGCCACACACAATGGCGCACAGATTTCTTTAACATTTAACATTATTAGTCATATGAATTGGTCAATTCTTATATGATTTTTTAAATTTATATCAACTACAATGCTTCACACAAATAATCATTTATTGAATAGTAATTTTTTTCCAAAATTAATACACCAAGTCGCTTTTCAAAGACTCTAGTTGGAAGATCTTTTAATTATTTTTAAAAGAATCCAACCAGGCTTCCGTTCTGTCTGAGCGTCGTGGTCAGCAAGAAAACATCTGGACTATCAGTTTCCACCGTATTCTGTCCAGCGCCTTTCGTGTACAGTTTTGAGGACGATGAGTCTTTCACTTGATCGGTCCATCTGGTTGGTAAACGTCTACGTGATTGCCTTATCTGTTACCAACCACGATCAGTGTCTCCAAGTTCTCTAAGCACATTATATGGTCGAAATATGAGATTCCAGATGTTGTACCAATAGTTATTCCAAAACTACCGCGCGCTCCTAAAGTTTCTTATATACTAACGGAACGAGAGAATAGATATTTAAATGGCCTGTAACAACTCTAATATTTGATTTTTTGGGATAGCTTACACCTAACATCATGAGTTAAAAAAAATTATGCATTTGGAAGTAATTAGTTTTTTATTATTACATCAGCATAAGATTATGGACAAATCGTGCTCCGTGCGTTGTGTTTATCTAGGTTAATGTCAACAACAAAATACCTTAATTGTAAAATTGTGATAGCCAATGGGAAACGTCTTGAATATGTTTTTGAATTAAAAACAATATGATAGGTAGCTGTTTTACCCAGTTGCTAATCAATTGATTTTAATGAAATTTACATAGATTAAGCTAGTCATTAAATTGTCACGCAGCCATTGATTGTTGTCTTGTAGTTTTGTAAATGAATTACTCGAATGTTTAATCTTTACAATTAATTGAAATATCTAAACATCGACATTGCAACATTATTTCATTTATGTGAATGTGACATTAAGACATGTATATCTAAACGATATCTTGTTAACCTGTCCTATTCTGATACTGAAAATATTCTTATTGTGCAAAAATAGTTTTAATATAAATGTGTAGAAATAATTAATATAATTTTTACTTTATCTAAATCTCTTGTATATTGTGCATAATAAAGTTTTTTCTTTCTTTCTTTCTTTCTTTCTAGTGCATTACAAACATTCTCTTCCTGAGTTCAAAAACTAAAAGCATTTATTCATGTAGGTAACATAATGGATTGACACAGTGGAGGAGGACCTGATGCAAGTCAATAATTGGCGAGAGGTGCCACAGGACACTGCGCTGGAGTGTTTCTCGTTTCGGAAGCCAAGACACTTTTTGGGTCGCAGAGTCAGCGAAGTGAGTGGGTAAGGTAATTAAGCCTCATTTATTCCTTGAAACATTCGTTGATATTTACATAAGATACCACACATTTAAAATGTTATTTCCTCAAGGACATCATAGACATCATATAGGCCTCATCCAACTGTTTCCTCTCTCTATTTTGAGCACTTTTCTCCCAATCTTCCCCACCAACTAACATCTTTAGCCCACCGTGCAAGAAGGCGAACTCTGTTTCCTTTCCCTGGTAGTGTCTTAATATACACTTATGTACGTCATAATAATGGTTATAGATTTACATTTACATTTCCATTCCATTTTAAATTTAAGTCGCCAAAGTAATAGATGTCATTCGTGGTTTAGCTATACTAATTTAAAAGTTTTATATAATGTTTTAATTACAGTACGTAAATACAAGATTCTTTTGAAAGAATGCCGGTCGAAAGCTGATTGCCCGTACAAATGAGTGTGAGGTAATATTTGATGTAATACGCCTGGTTGTGTAAAATGTTAATCGTCTACAATCACCGTCATCGTCTAATTGAAGGTGCAATAAAAATATTTGGCTTACTATAGTAAAAGTACTCTTCTAGTGGGACCGTGTAGAAACCCTGAGGTCTAGAGTTCTATTAACCACTCATAATTTAAACAGATATAACGGTTAGGCACATATTAGGCTGATCACCTACTTGCTTTTTAAGAAATAAAGCGAGAAAAATTAGTCAAATAATTTGAATGAATTTGTTTAAGAAATTTTAAATTTACTATTCTAAAATGAAATCCTTATTCAATTAATATTTTTCTAACTTCTAATCATTTAGGACGAAAACTGAGTATTCGTATGGACTCGAACCCAGGAAAACTACGCTGGTGGATTAGGTGTCCCTAATCACTAAATTTCATAAAATATTTAACGGAACTTGCATTTTGAATACTTGTAGAGCATGTGACAAATATAGTATTCTCCCTTACACTCATGTGTGTAACATACATCTGTCCCTTTCTATCACTTTCTCTAATCCATGGTAAACAGAACACATAGTAGTAGAAACTGGTAGAAAGTGTGTGAGAGTACAATTTTTGTGTAGAATAGCAATTGTTTAATTTAAAAATTTTAGACCTTAATATATTAAATAATTTAAATAAAGATGACGCGACCAGGGCATTGACCTAACAATGTAGTTTTAAATAAATAAAATAAAATAAAAAAAGCTTTTTATTTATTTCAAAAGAACAAAATAAACTGAATCCTATTATATATATTATATATATATATATTTTTTTTTAAGAAAATAAATTACACTATTTTCTATCGGTAGGTACCTACCTACTATATTACATCTATTTTCTAATTATTTTGCAAGAACCCTTCCACAGGGATTCTCCAAGGATCTCCAGGTATCTAGGTCTTAGGTGAATTGCATTTAGCTCGAGCCAGCGGTTTTAAATTACTTAGTAGTAAAACTAACACGTAAATACTAAGTCAGTCCATTTTCATCTAAAGCGGTCTCCTTTTAACATAGCGTAAATACAGTTTGACAGAAAAAGACAAAAGAGAGTTTTTTTGATAATACTAATAAATCAATTTTAGTTTTTAGTATATTGAATAGCTATTGAATGTTTTGTCTTTATCGCTCTCGTGTCGTAATGTTATCACATAAACGGTATAAAAGATTCTCTAAGTAATAAATATTTTTTTTTAATTTCTACATTAGACAGTTTTATGGGCACCTTCAAGAATGATGTATTGTGATTTAGGTTCGATTCCCGTTTGGTGCGTTAATTAGAATTAAACGTTTTCACCGTCAACAATGGATAAGAATCGACAATTCTTATAGCGGGTAATTTGTATCAGTCTACCTATGAAGGTCGCTGTTAGGTCAAAAATATTTATAATTAATATAATTCTGTTTCGATATTAAAGAACATTTTCTTTTCAGTTGTAATTGCTGTTAAACTAATGGTTATCGTTGTAAGAAGCGAAAAGAAAAATATCTTAAGATGTTACGGGAGTATTGAGTTATGCGTTGAAGTCTTTTATAACTAAAATTGTTTTTTTTTTTTTTTTTTTATAGAACGGGGGGCAAACGGGCAGGAGGCTCACCTGATGGTAAGTGATACCGCCGCCCATTGACACTATCAATGCCAGAGGGCTCGCGACTGCGTTGCCGGCCTTTTAAGAATTGGTACGCCCTTTTCCTGAAGGACCCTGAGTCTTATTGGTTCGGAAATACTTCAGTGGGCAGCTGGTGCTGTTTATTTGTTTATTGTTGTTAATTATCGGCCATTGAAAAGTTTTTAATTTAAAGATCTAACAACATTGAAACATCAAGTATACCTCTGAACGGTTTTGAGTATGTTATTTATTTATATGATTGATAAATAATTAATGGATAATATGGTATCTTCGAGTAGAGAACGTTGTGGCGGTTCCAAGAAATACCTATACAAAATCCTTTACATATTTTTCTACATTATACATTCATGACGCCACATCTTGTATACATTTAATAAACATTTAAATGGTAAAATACTTGTTTTAGGTACGACGTGACGACGACATATTCATAAGTTAGCTCTTAAAACATTTGTGAATAAAACAATAAAATATAAGTATGTAATACGATAGTTGTTAAATCTAGAAGAGAGATCGAAACGGAGAGATGATTCAAAGTGCTAATTTCATGTATGAAGGTTGTATAGGCAAGGTGAATTGCATTGTTAATCGTTTCACAATCGCATTCCGATACCACTGTACGTCACTAGAACTTGGAATACCTTTAAATATTTCCTGCAAAACGGTGCTACTTTGTATAAGGGAAGTTAATAATAATAAATAATTATACAATCTTAAATGGATATGAGATTGCTTCTCTGTCTGGGTTTGGGTCTGTTTTGACCATAGAGAAAGAAACTCCAGTGGTGTAACGTGCCACATATTTTTCTTGGCCGGTAATTCATGGATATTAGTATTGCCAGTATAATAAAAATGAACCAAAATAAGGGGAATACTTTGAAGTCATGCAGGCTAACTTAATAACTTATTGAAATGTCTTAATAAAACATTATATACTGGTATGTAGAAAATAGAGTTCTAGGCTGAAATAAATGTGATACAAATATGGGAGCAACTGATATGATAGATTATGTTACCTGTACTATTAATATAACATCGTTTAAGTCACCGTGACTACGCACGCTTTAAAGCACGCGAAACGTCGGATAAATTTAAAATTATGTTAAATAGTTGTAAATTTATAATAATACATAACTTCAATCCGGTTAAACAGTTTTTTCTTTAAATGTGTAAAGGTTATGTAAATCAAAGACAATACTATCGTTTAAGATACCTAGCAATCAGAACCGTTCGATAATTAAAACTTTGTCATTGTAATTAATAATGCAAGGAATAAAAAAAATACATTTTAGTTAAATTAT